TTAGTAGGTATTATGGTGAGTGGAAGAAAATGTATGAGCTAATTTACACTCAAGAGATGAAAGAGAAGTTATATAAAAATAAAAAGGGTTGTTTGTAGTTATAATCTGGTTCATAATTTACATAGTTTATGCATTGATTCAAATTCAATTTTAAAAGTCTAGACTCTACATCTTGTTATTATAATTATTTGATTAACTTTGTCTTATACTATTTTGTGACTGATTGAGAAGAAATTCATAGTCTTGAGTTAAAATTTTGACTATTTATCAGTCGGTGCTCAAAAGACCCAAAGCAATAAAGAATAAAGTGCATCATTCTCTAATTTTACATTATGTAGTTTCTACAAAACTCTGGTCTTCCCATGGTTTAAACTTTGATGACTTGTAAGTAGAACATCAATATCGTCATATAACACAACAAAAAATAATATTAAATTTTAATTTAATATCCATGATTCATTTAGAAAATGCTACCAAAGATAAAAGGATCTCCATCAATGTTCTTTACAAAAGTAAAAGAAATTTAAAGTAGTGATATTATGCAGACATCACAGAGTTTGATATAGATATAATATTAGAAAACCTACTCTTATTTACACAATTATACCCAACAAAATTTTACCAATATACAGACATGCCATTGCACATTTAAGGTAAATATATCTATCTTTTAGGATGTTGAGCTATGGTTCTATGCTTGTAAAAGATGCAATAAGAAAATGGATAAAGATGTTACTAATGAGTTTCTAAATTATAAATGCCGCAGAATTGCTAATGACTCAGTACCAAGGTTAAGTAATATCAAATTTTATGATATAAACATATCAAATTTCAATATTAACATATATCTAGAATAAATAATGAAAACTACAGGTAAGATTCTCATGAAAAATGGCACAAACAATTCAAAGGTAACATTATTTGATGTAATAGAAACTATTAGATGCACTGTAGAAGAATTCATTACAAAGAAAAAAGAAGTAATTCCTAACTCTATATAAGAGTAATAATTAGGAAAATATTTTTTTCTTCATATATATATATGAAATCAACCTTTGTTCTCATTAAAAAGAAAAATAATTAGAGTCAATATTTCTAGAATTTCGTGTTGACTATCAAAAGACATTCAAATTTCTGGTGAAGTTAGATGAGAAGACATAAGATGAACTAGCTAAATGAAGTATTATAGCACAAGAAATCCATCTCTAGTTTGATGTCATAATCAACGTAGACGATGAAGATACTATTTTAGAATTGCTCAGAAAAAAAATAAAGGTCGAGAAGGATTGATATCGGCTCAATTAAAATATAAAATAGAAGAATAAATGGCCTTATTTTTTTGAATATTTTATAGTATATGTTAGACCCTAGAGGGGGGGTGATTAGGGTCTTATGCTAATCTAATCCGATTAAATGCCAATTAAAACTAATTAATACGTTATCCTAGCAAGTATGAAATACAACAAGATATATGAGCTAGGATAAGCAATATGAATAATGAAATATATCCTATATGATGAACTATATATGCAAGGATATATAAACACAATGGTAAACAATGTAAACAAGATAGTGGATGATATAGATAATGAGCTAATGACAATGGCGATATAAGATATGAACATAAATATGAAAGAACGCCAAAGCACACTCAAACAAGCAATATGATCACGGAGTTCGGACCTTCCGTCCTACGTCTCCGCTCCCCACTCCCGGGGAGAAATCCACTAACACAATCCGGTTTGGAAGCCGGAACTTCTTCTACACACTCGGTTTTCTAGCTAACCGAAAACTCTACAACTCACACTCTTGTAATCACACTCTACACCCACTAAGTGTTGGACCTAGCCGTGTCTCCCTCAAGTGCTCGGTTACAACCTCTCCCTAGGCACGTCAACCGACGCCACTCCTCTTGGGACGATCCCCGACTCTCACCACACACTCCTCACTCGGTGTACAAGTGTATTACAAAGTGATTCTCACAATAAGCACAATATAACAAATGATTGTTCTCTCTAACAAGATGAGAACTCAATTAAGCTCACTCTCAATGTCACAAACCCACAACCCTAAATTATACTATGAATGTAAATACAATAAGCTCAAAAGGTTGTGTGTGAACAAAGAGATATAAATCAAAACTAAACTCAATGTAGTTCTAGCTTAATAACAATGATAATCAAATATATAAAAAAGCTAGAAATAGAGTTTAGAAAACTTCTCAATATATCAAGAGTTGGAGGGAGAATAGTTGAATGCCCAAACACCAATAGATGATCTCCTCAAGCTCTTGTAGAATTGAATCACAAAACCGAAACACTCAAATGCTTAAAAGCTTCTTAAAACAAACTTAAACAAACACTAAACAAGTTTAAACCCTTGTTAAAATCTTTTAAACCATTCTCTTGTTAGAGAGGGAGAGGTAAATGCAATGAGGTATTTATAACAACCCAAGACATCAGCCAAAACCCCAAGGAAATGACCAAAAACCCAAAAACAAACAAAACAGAAAACTAGCCGTTACTGTGCAACGGCTCTCTGATAAGTCGACTTAGAGTCGACTTATGACATATACAGTTTTTGGCAGATGCTGAAAATTATGCGTATCTGGATTTGTAAAATCAGTTAAAAATAGTAAATCAACTCTAAACATTATGAAAATTTTAGGGATGTTTCTAAACATGTAAATAAACATTTTACAAAAATAATTTCTGAAATATCACTTCTCATTTGTGAGAAATGAATATTTGAATACAGATATTTCAGATTCTAAAAACTGCTGAAACACCCGATTTTCTAAAATCAATTTGACACAGTAAATTAACTCCAAAAATTATAAAATTTTTAGGGAAGCTTCTAAAAATCTGCTGTGATACACGATTTTGTAAAATCAAGTAGGCACAGTAAATCAACTCCAAAAATAGTAAAAACTGGAGGAAAGTTTCTAAACATGTATATAAACATGTCAGAGAAAGAATTTTTCAAATATCACTTCTCATTTGTAAAAACTCATCAGTTTTGTAAAACATGCACGAACATGTGCACGAACGAAAACGTGAATTTGTAAATTCCTTTAAACATAACAAATCAATTCCAAACTTGATGAAACTTTGAGAAATGTTTGCAAATGATATTTTGAACATGTTACAAAAAGAATTTTCCAATTTGCATTTCCCAATTATGAAATCTCATTATTTTGCAAAAGTGTTCAAAACATAAAAACCCAAAACCATGCATGTATATATATAACTATATATATACATAGAAATCAAATACGTGTGTGTGTATGATATTGAGCTTAAGGTACTTAACACACATAATATAAAATCTAAATTAGATTACCCAAGCTTTATCTTGATCTTCATTGTAGCTCAACTTGGTACACATGCGGATGAAGCTTGAACTTGATCTTTAACTATAAATTGCATGTTGCTTCACTCCACAATTCCGCCAACCTCCATTTGATATCGTCGTTATGGCGCAATCCATCCATCCTCCAACTACGTTGTTTGTCTACAATACATAGGAATGCACAAACACTAGACAAACAACATTAGTAGTAAATTGTTTGTAAATCATCATCAAAACAAGAAGGCCAACAGTATAGCTTAATTTTTTGAGTAAATTTAGGAATATATAGAAAGGATTTTCATGCAAAACTTTTAGTATTTTTATATGCTTATGTGAATTCTTTTATCATAGTATATTATATTAGAGTTATCATTGATCTTTAGTTTTTGTCTCTTTTGTATTTCAAGTCTATCAATAATTAAGATCTCTTGCGGTCTCGCGAAAAATATGTGTTTTGTGCTGACTTACACAAACCATCTTACTACTAAGTATATTTTATGTTTACGACAATATCCTTCCTCAAGCCAAGCTCTCAAAATTTTTTACATATCAACAAAAAGATTATTGTCCAAGGTAAACAAATTGGAGATCAATTATTCGATAAATAAATATATTACATGAAGTTTGATATGTACAAATTAAAAAAAGTAATGTTGTGTATACAAGTATATAAAAGTAAATTGATCCCATTTTAGCACACAAATCCATTACATAAATTTTTTAAAATGCTTAAATAAAAATTATGGCAAATCTAATAATATAAGGTTACCAATTTTAACTCATAATGAATCTGATTGATTTATAGTGAGGAAAAAAACCAATAAATAAATATATTTAATATTTAACCGCATGCATTAAAACTAGTGGGGTTAGATATTTGAGTTTATAGGTAAATACCAAACTTTGAAAGTTGGTGGGTTTAAGAATAAATTAGGATAAAAACTTAGGTTTGTAGGCAAAGTACTCTTTTTTTTTTTGGTTCGCTATATTGTAAAAAGATGGTTATCAAACATTGGCTTTAGCCTTTCAAATGAGAAACTCTGTTTAAACAAATATTAAAAATCCTTAATTTCATTAATAATTTATGCATATTATTATTTGCCCGAAACTTTCCCCTCAGTTGATTCGAACGGCT